AGTGTTCATCTGGGTGGCCGCAATTCCTGTAGGCGAACACGAGGTGGTGGTCATCTTGTTCGCATGAAAACAGGCAGCGGTGTTTGGTCGTCAAGCTGGACTTCAATGATCGCCTATGTTCGGTTTTATAACACTTAGGAAGACACTGTTCGGTGGAATCATTCGTCTGAATAAGGTGAACAAGCTCCAGGGTAGAACTATGGATTCCGTTTGTTGCATTTGTAGTTTGTTCACTTTTTAAACTACCAAACTAGACTGTCCGCAAGCCCCGATTCTATGGAACTGTTTTGGGCATGGGACCATGCGTACGTTCGGTCAAATAAATGACTTCCAGTAAATTCCTGAACCCCTGAACTGATCTGGGTGATTTTGGGATCTGTTGGTCACCCAGATCAGGGCTATCAGTGAGTGTAACTTTTGTGGGGGTTTTGTATGTTTTACAGGCATTTTGCTGGCTTTATAAAAATGTGTTTTTATGTCTGGAGATAATTGAGTTAATACAGTACTTGACTCAATTATCTCCCACGTATAGAGGAGGGATTGACCTATTATGTGTGGGAGTGTCCTGGATCTTAGAACCAATGTGATTGTGTATTTGTTTCTACTGTGGTTTACTCTCAGGTCCAGGGGGAGTGCACCTTGCATGGGGACTTGCATAAAAGTCAGTTGTGGCTACCAATAAACAAGTTCCTGCTTACCCTCAACATAGTCTCATCTCATGTGTGGGGGGAATGGCTGTATCTACCCTGGGGATTGCTATATCACTATACTCCCCTGGGATCATAATCACTTGCTCTTTTAAGAGCATATTGCTACACTCTCTTGGAGGAGAGGTCTACCCACTGAAAGCTGAATTCTGGTTTTGGGTCCAGGGTGGGTGGAGGACAGCGAGACCCCAAGCAAGCTGTGAAGCTGGAAGTGGGGACTACAGTCCTGATCATGTCTAGAGTGCTTGGAGTACTCTGTGAACACTAGGAGCATCGATTGGTGGAAGCACCTGGTCAGGGTGCCAGCTGGTCCGTCACATCCTCCAATGCGATTTACCCCTTGGGGCCACAGCCTCAAACAAGGGTCTTTGATCCACAGACACTTCATCAATCCAAAATTGTACAATATCTCTCTATAAGTAAGATTATTGAATTATATCACTGGACCTTGGGCACCTCTATACCCAATTCCTTAGATTTACCCCAGTTGCTACTATGATTTAAGTGTTATCTTAACATTTCCACACCAGTCCTCAACACTACGTAGAGATGTGATGGGCGTCTCCTGTATTACCAGGTCTTGTATAACAAATCAATATATAAATGATGCCTGTTGGAGGCGCCGTTCCACACACTCAAACAGTATATTGGTCATGATTCCCCCTTTTTCCCTTCTTTCCCAACCAGCAGACAATAAGAGTGCAGACCAAACTACCGGCCTGATGAGAGAGACGGTTGCAAACACCACTATCGGGTATAAGCGACATACCACTGCTTTCCATTCCACCGCATGGCATCCCCATAAGGATGCATCAGTGGCCACAGCAGCTTATCACTATTAGGCAAACTGACCATACTGGCTAGAATGCAGACTTGGTCTCCAGAAAGAGTTCAGGTAGATTAAGTCTCTCTCAGGTACTCAACGAAAGGTGGATCATTTGTAGAACATTGATTGCTGAAAATTTTTACCATTGTGATGCTGTACTGTACTCAATCATTGATGCTGGAATGTACTATTAAAAACCGCTGTACCCCTAACCACCATCTTTCTTCTGTAACCCTTTGATCTTTTTGTAAATGCAATAAAATATAAATTGGAAAAAAAAAATAACTATTAACCACTTTTTGCTAAAATATAAAAAGTTTATCCAAAATGATTAAATAATATGAAAAGATTTTCCAACAATATTAAACTGAAACCTGTGTCTAAATGGATTTGTTCATTAATTAGAATTAATAAAGTTAAATACAATCAGAATTTACAACTAAAATGAAAAATTAAATAAAATTATGTAACAGAGCTCCCTGTACCCGGGCTGGGTACCTGCGCCAAAGACTGCTTCCTAGCTGGCGATGAGGACCATAAGCACCACACCGGACACCATAAGCGCCCTAGACCTCACGAACCGCTGCAGCTTACTTGGGGTCTCGCCGTCCCTTCCCACCCTGGACCAAACTCCTGAATCCAGGGACTCAGTGGAAAGGCCTCTCCTCCAGGAGAGTGTAGCTGTGAAGCTCTTAAAAGAGCTAATAGTGACACAATAAGAGACAGAACTCTAGATTGAGAGTGAAGTAAGTCTGGTTTATTGGTAGCCACACTGGCTTTTTATGCAAGTCCCCAAACAAGGGTGACACCCACGTGGACCTTGTTGGGGACAGGGACACAAATGTATACACCAATCACAATGGAGTTACAATCTAAGGCACTCCCACACATAATGCAATAATGCAATAAGCCTTCCCCTTTACTTAGGGAATAATTGAGTCAAGCACTATACTATATTTACTTATCTCCAAACACAAAAACCAAACATTTTACAAAACCCCAAAAGTACCCCAAAAACAAATAAAATCCCCACATCAACGGATAGCCCCGATCTGAATGACCAACATATCCAAAAATCTCCCAGATTGGTTCAGGGGTTCAGGAATTTCCTGGAAGTCATTTATTTGACCGAGTGCAGGCATGGTCCCATGACAAAAACAGTTCCAGAGAATCAGGGTTTGCAATCAGTCTAGTTCGGTAGTTTGCAAATGAACAAACTACCGAACAGAGTCAATAGTCTTACCCTGGAGCATGTACCCTTCATCTAGACAAATGATCCCACCGAACAGTTCTAAATTGAATAGAACCGAATGCAGGCGATGATGGAAGTCAAGCGGTGTTCAGGAGTTTCTGTATCCGATTTCAATTCCATGAGATTCATGCCCAAACACAGCTGCTTGCATTCATGCGAACAAGATGGCCGCCACCTTGTCCTTGTCAATAGGAATTGCGGCCACCCAGATGAACAATTAGAACACTGCGGTGAGAAACGTTCCAAGTTATTAATAGGTGTTAACAAGTTCCAGGGTGGTCTCTGTTCGTGCGGTTGTTCGGTAAATGAACCATATAGTCCCAATTGCACAAACAGAGCCTGTTTGAAGTATTTTAGCCAGGTCTATTGCAGGAGCCATAGTCACATGGTAGGAGGCTGGAAAACAGGCTCCTCCAAAAGCCAGTGGCGAAGTCACTTTCGCCACAAATTGCAACGAATCCAGTCACATGTCTTAATGTCTAAATACAAAAGTATCACTGTACCTTATTTGCTAGAGATTTGCCATCAGCTAATATTGTGGAAAGTGCTTTGATCGTCTTATCTTAATGGTTAAATATTTAACTGATTTGTTGTACCTCGTCTCTTCTGGAGGGTTTTTAAATTCACTATTAACCCATATATGTGTGATAGTGAGTGGAGCAAAATACCCCTTATATACAGAAAGATGTATACAGACTTGTTGGATGTATGAAGAATCTTCCAACATATGATGATATATAGAGAGAAAGAGAAAACACAATAATAGTGCAAATCGTTTGCATAAAGGATGTAAACATATACATATGTAATTAATCACTGAGAATCATCTCTTTAGTGAATGGTTTGAGAGCTTTCAATAGGAAAAAATGACATAAAATTTATTCGTCTGCCACATGCAGGGTTTAAAATTATATATATACATAGACAAGAATAAATAGTGATAGAGAAAAAAAGGGTGGTAAGCCCCTTACTGGATAAGATGGTGAGTATGACAAATATATGTCTACTCACTACAAAGTGTGTAAATGTCAGGGTGGCAGGCAGCACTGCTGAGCTTTCTCCCGGTTCGGCAAAATCTTGTATAGCTGTGTAGTGCCGGTTTCCAGACAGATCACATCCAAAAACTTTGTGTGCTGTAGGCTCCTCCCCCTGTATGACGTCAACGCTTTTCGCCGGATGGCTTCCTCAGGACGTGCTCACAACCTCCATGTTGGTTGTGGGCATATATAGGGCATAAACCACATGTCCTGGATTGTTCAAATTTGCATATAGATTGAACGAAATGTGGACCCAATTAACCACTTATATAAATTAACCCATAGTAAACTTACTACTATTATAGAGACTAAATACAACTATTGTTTAGAATAAGAGACAAATATACATAGAAAATGTATTAAACTAATGATGGCATTTCACAATGAGATATATTATAATACAATATGACAAAAATATATACATATAAAGTTAAAAGGACCTTTACATAAAAACATTCACATAAAGAGTGTGTACTAAAATAATGGTGGTATTTAGCAGCCTTGGGGTATACCCACAATGCAATGTAACCAAATTACAGATTATATACATATAAAGTTAGTAAACATTTGCATATAGAAAATTAGCAGCATATCAAGAAATATATCTCATCTTTCTAATACTTTAAAAACAGGAAGAGAGAAAAAGGAGAACAATTAATTAGCATGTTTTGAACATATCCTGGATTTCTTAAATACAAGAACAAATATGTATATATCTCCATAAAGTTGTACCAGAGAAAATAAAATAAAATAAAATCCCAGTGAGGAAATGTGCACTAAAGAAGTACCCAAGATGACTTAACATAATATAAAAAAATATATAGTATATATAAAATGGTATATAAAAAATACTTATAAAACTTTTATAAAAGATATAAATACAAAATTTATAAGAAACCTTTATATAACATAGAGATGTGGAGTTTATAAAATATTTAAAATAATAAATATTTAGGGGTTTTTCAAAAATATAATATTTAATTTTTAATTTTTTTAAAAATGGCAAATTTCGAAGTCATTATTTAGGCCATGTGGGATCTTAGTGTTCAATATAAAAATCCACTGCATCTCGGCCTTCCCTATTTTTTCCATAAAATCTCCACCTCTCCATGTTCTCTGAACTTGTTGAATTCCCATAAAACTTAGTTGTGTAGGGTCAGCCTGATGATATTGTGCAAAATGTGCTGACACTTGATGTAGCGCATATTTTCTTTTTATATAACATAAAAAGAAAATATGCGCTACATCAAGTGTCAGCACATTTTGCACAATATCATCAGGCTGACATGTTCACCTATACGTGTATGCAAAGATGTTGTGGTACGTCCTATATAATGTAAACCACACGTACAGGTTAGCATGTATACAAAATTTTTAGAACTACATGTAATACCTTCCTTTATTCTATACCTGGTATTATTTACTGTAAAATCCTTAACGTATTGTTTTTTGTTACCTGTATTATTACACGCGCTACAATAACCACATCTAAAAAAAACCTTGCTGTTGATTTAGGAAATAATTTTCTTGTCTTTTTGGTTCATCTAAAACATTACTTACTAAAATTCTTTTTAGGTTAGGAACCCCTTTATGTATAATCTTGGGTACATCAGTCAGAATTTCATTTAGAATAGGGTCATCTCTAAGTATTGACCAATGTTTTTTGATGATGTTACATACTTTATAATTATGTCCTCCTGAATACTGACATATTGTTTCTCAGTGATTAATTACATATGTATATGTATATGTTTACATCCTTTATGCAAACGATTTGCACTATTATTGTGTTTTTTATCACCATCTGTTGGAAGATTCTTCATACATCCAACAAGTCTGTATACATCTTTCTGTATATAAGGGATATTTTGCTCCACTCACTATCACACATTTCATTTTCTTTTGGTGAATTTTGGGATTGCACCAGAGTGTGAAGCATTTTGTCCTTGTAGTAATTTAGCACCCAGATTCTTTTCTTGTATTTTTATATCAACCCATATATGTTTATGTGAGGTAATGCATTCAGAGCACAGAACAAGTAAGTATTCCCTGTTGATTCCTCTATTTTGTCCTTGGTAAAGCTGTATTGTAATGCATTTTATTAGAACAATTTCAGGGTCCAGTTTGTTTAATTTTAGGTGAAGGACCCTAACAAAATTAGAGTACATAGGTTCCCCACCACTTGGTTATGCCACTCCAGGTAGTGCACTGATGTCAGCTTTGGTGTATGAAATAGACAAATTAAGCAAGTACATTTTAAAAAATGCATTCTTCTTGGAACATATACATTCTAAGTACATTGCTGAAATTTGTTTACAATAACGCATATTGAAATTTTTCTGGAGTCTGCCAGCTTAAATGAGACTAAAATGATGGCTCCATTAACCTATTACAATGTTAATATCAGAGGTCAGTGTCTGTCCGATACAGATTTGTTCTATGACAATCGACATTTTGTAAGGTATTTACTTTCAAATGGTTCTGAAAATACCAATGTAAGTCATTTCTTTCAGACACAGCAATCATAAATTAAAGAGCAAATGCTGGAAAGCAGTGCTCAAGTATACAGAAAATTATATTCTTCAAAGAGAATCTATTCAAAAGCAAAAAAGGAATGCTGCCTATGCTTAGTCTTATCTCAACTGCTCACAATGGTTTGATGATGACCTTTAATGGATTATGTTAACATGCAGAGAATCAGTTACTCTCTAAAGCATTATAAAAGTTTCAATAAAGAAAAAGTGGTGGCATGACAGACATTTAAAGTTAAAAAGAGGTAAAAAGCTTAACTTTCACTTTAGCTAGAACTGAGATGTAAAGCTATTAGACTTTTTCAAATGCCAGGGAAGTTTGACAGTCAAAGTCAATTTCTAGTGAATACTGTTATTCCATAATTATACATGATTGGTAATAGTGACACGTATAACCAGATGGGATATTTACCTTTCTGTATGACTTTTATTTAATAGTTTAGCAAATATGAATGATGAAACCTTAAAAAATAAAACATAACGAAAATACATAGAAACATAGAATGTGACGGCAGATAAGAACCATTCGGCCCATCTAGTCCAATTTTCTAAATACTTTCATTAGTCCCTGGCCTTATCTTATATAGTCTTATGTTTATCCCAGTGCATGCTTAAACTCCTTCACTGTGTTAACCTCTACCACTTCTAGACTATTCCATGCATCTACTACCCTCTAAGTAAAGTAACACTACCTGATATTTTTTTAAAACCTTTGCCCCTCTAATTTAAGACTAATTGTCCTCTTGTTGTGTTAGTTTTTCTTCTTTTAAATATAGTCTCCTCCTCTACTGTGTTGATTCCCTTTATATATTTACATGGTTCTATCATATCCCCCCATCTCGTCTTTCCTCCGAGGTATACATGTTACGTTTCTTTAACCTTTCCTTGTAAGTTTTATCCTGCAACCCATGAACCAGTTTAGTAGCCCTTCTCTGAACTCTCTCTAAAGTATAGATATCCTTCTGGAGATACGGTCTCTAGTACTGCATACAATACTCCAAGTGAGGTCTCATTAGTGTTCTGTACAATGGCATGAGCACTTCCCTCTTTCTACTGCTTTCTACTGCTAATACCTCTCTCTATACAACCAAGCATTCTGCTAGGTTTCCTGCTGCTCTATTACACTGTTTGCCTACCTTTAAGTCATCTGAAATTTTTACCCTAAATCCTCAGGTGTTACAGTTAGTTCTCTATCAAATATTCTGTACTCTTCCCTTGGGTTTTTACATCCAAGATGCATTATCTTGTACTTATCCACATTAAATGTCAGTTGCCACAACTCTGACCATTTTTCTAGTTTACCTAAATTATTTGCCATTTGGCTTATCCCTCCTGGAACATTAACCCTGTTAAATATCTTAGTATCATCAGCAAAAAGACATACCTTACCATCAAGATCTTCTGCAATATCACTAATAAAAATATTAAAGAGAATTAGTAAATGTACAGATCCCTGAGGTACCCCACCATGCTTTGAATATACTCCATTGACTACAACCCTCTGTTGCTTGTCACTCATCCACTGCCTTACCCATTCAACAATATTGGAATCCAAACTTAAAGATTGCAGTTCATTGATAAGCCTTCTATGTGCAACAGTGTCAAAAGCCTTACTGAAATCTAGGTAAGCAATGTCTACTGCACCACCCTGATCTATTATTTTAGTTACCCAATCAAAAAAATTGATAAGATTAGTTTGGCATGATCTCCCTGAAGTAAACCTATGTTGTCTCTGATCTTGAAATCCATGTGATTTTAGATGTTCAACAATCCTATCCCTTAACATGGTTTCCATTACTTTCCCCACCACTGAAGTAAGGCTTACTGGCCTATAGTTGCCCGACTCGTCCCTACTAACTTTCTTGTAAATGGACACAACATTCACTAACTTCCAATCTTCCGGGACTACTCCTGTTAACAATGATTGATAAAAAAAATCTGTTTATGGTTTTGCTAGTACACCACTAGCTCTTTTGATTATTCCCTAAACTGCGAGCATTTGTAGACACGACTCTAAGCTTATCATTTTTTAACACACTTGCTACAGGCACCTTCTGTACTTGTTTTGGGGGGCAATTGGATTTATGTTTTATCACCCTTTTGCTCCCCCCCCCCTCTAATTTAAATACATCCTAGCAAAACCTCTGAACTGCTCACTGAACATTTGTTCCCTTTTGAGAAAGATGCAAACCATCTTTTTTGTACAGTTTATTTCCAAAACGTCTTTTACCTCTGAAACCTCATTGCAAGCCAAGTCATTTGTCCCTAAATGGACAAGTATATCCAATTCCCCTTCCTGCTTTGCTTGCTTAACAATATTACAAATACGTCTCCTGTCTCTGTGAGCAGTGGCTCCGGGAAGACATCTCACAAGACCACTATTGTCCAGCTCCACCCCTCTTATGATAGAGAACAACAACTGCTTTCTATTAGGCCTCACCATAGTCTGCAAGCCTCATTCCACAACACCACTACACACAGTGCCTGAGCCTGTCTCAACATTACACTCTGAAAGTGCTGAAAATGAATTATGTAGAGCAACAGACTGTGCAATATGCCTTTTATCCACAACTCTAAATTTACCAGATTCTACAGTAATCCATCTGCCATTCCTAGTACGTTTCTGCGGCAGTGGCTTTGCAACAGTTCCAGCCTGAGTTTGTTTACCAGATAATTTATAAATCTCAGACTTCAAAAATACAATCTCCTGCCGCAATATAGAGAACTGTCTACAGATTAGGCAGCATCCAAATCTCCAAAAAGTGGAACTTGAAACAAATGCACAACAACTATTACACTGAACTAAGTCCGCCATTTTAATGAGGTGAACAATTTAAACCAAACAAATATTAACAAATATTTTTTTTGTCCTTCTATATATCTCAGATTACCTCCAGTTTATCTCCAGAATATCTCCAAGCACACACTTTGAAGCAGTACTCCCCAGAATATCTCCAAGCACACACTTGGAAGCAGCACTATCCAGAATATCTCCAACCACACACTTAGAAGCAGCACTCTCCAGAATATCTCCAACCACACACTTGGAAGCAGCACTTAGAAGCATCAACCAAGCTACAATTCTTTAGTGCAAGGAAATAGTTATATAACTATGCAAATGAAACATGAACATTTAGTTGTATAAAGAGACAATATATAAATAAAATCAAAACAAAACCACACAATGAAATAAATTATACACACACAAACCCTTAAATTAATACTATAACCACTATAACACGCTGCAGCAATGACCTGGCTTCCACCCAATATAATGCTTTGGCGGCTTACATGGGGTCCAGCGTGGCCTCTCACTACTTCCAATGGGAGGCAGAAGCTCGTTGCTCTGACTGATAGGCTAATGCTCTCAGCCAGTGACCTGGCCTTGCATCAGGAGGTCTAATGGAAGTTCTGTGCAGGAGCTTCTGGCTCTTAATGAGATGGCTGGCACCGAGTGGACCCCACTAAATAGAAAATTTGTTTGAAATTATTTGACTATTTACATTGGTGGCCTCCATAGCAATCCTGGCACCATAACTACTGCAATGCACAGTAGTAGTTTTGGTGCTAGTGAAGTACTTCATGATATAGAGTGTCCTCTTATTAAAAGAACCAAAGGCCATTTTTTTTTTATAAATAAAGCTACAAGAGTTAAAGAAACACATAGAAATGTGGATGCCTAATGCATGTTTCTACGTGTTCTCCCTTCACCCACTGACATGTTCAGCTATA